TTGAAGACGACATATGATAGCAGCAGTTGAAGTGAGTGGCGTTGAACGTGACTAATTGTATGGACTAGAAAAATAGTTAGAATGAGAGAGAGAGAGAGAGAGAGAGAGAGAGAGAGAGAGAGAGAGACGAAATGGGCAAAACATAATAGAATAAGCTCCCCTCCATATTCTCATCTCTCCATACTCATCCATACTTTTCATATGAGCCCAAATTCGGACTCACATCGATGATCTGAACTATTTATTTTGTAGGTTCCATAATAAAGGTCATCCATGTAAAAAATCAATATCATCGAACATATATAAACACAAGAATAAATCACATTTTATTTTATAAACTGAATAGTAAATAGGATTATAAACTTAAACTATTCATTTTGTAAAATAATATGTGATTTGTTTCTGTGTTTATACTTGTCCAATAAATCTAATGTTTTGTATGAATAATTTTTACTATAAAGCCTATGAAATAGACTGTTTGTAGGGAATCGCATCCGAAGAACCCCTCTGAGGAGTGCAAAAAACCAGTTACACAATCCTAAAACTTTAAGGGGGAGTTACAGGTCAGTCTCATGGACCGGTCTTAATACCTATGAAGTCTTGTCCATTTACGGTTTCTCATTTTATCTCTAATATATTTAGCCCAAGCCATTTATCTTTTTCAGCCATTTGACTATCTCTCGCCGGCACACTATTGTTACCCTCTGACGCGATCACCACCGTTTAACTGACACCACCGCATCCTCATTCTTTATTGCCGCCGTTGCCCGCCTAACACTGTCGTCCTCCTCTCTCGTTGCCATCATCGTCGCTTTTCTTCTATCCTACATTCTCCATTTTCCTTCATATTTTGACTCCTGCCACTATCAATCCACCATCTTCGACGCTGAACTTCACTAATGGCTTTAGATCTTGTTAGGTTTTTATTCTTGGCAATCCCGTTTAACAAAACTCCTTTCAGTTGTATTTGTTATCGCACTTTTTATTTCAGTGAGGCTATGAGTGTTTAGATGTGAATCCAACTCAAATCGTGCTTTGTAGAGCAATTTGTGATGTTAATACTTTCAAGATTGCCACTTCGCTGATTATGACGGGGATCGAGCTGATTATGCATTCAAAATTGCTTGTCCGCTCGAGCGGACATTCCCCCGCTCGAGCGGAGAATGCTAAGTTCCAAAAGTTTATTCGCCTGCAAAAATACTGGATGTTGTTTTTTCCCGCTCGAGCGGAACTTTCCGCGCTCGAGCATAGGTCCGCTCGAGCGGCCAATCCGACGCTCGAGCGGAGATCGCGGGACAGTTTTCTATAAATACGTGTTTCAGTCCAAATCTAGGAGAACTTCTCCAGATCTTCTTCTTGGGTTCTAGGATTCATATCTAGAGATGTTTTGCTAATTTTCTTTGATGTTTTGATTAAGTATTCAACTCATGGTTTAAAGAATATACATCAAAGGATTATTTGTTTATTCTATACAAAAGAGAGAGTTGTTCTTCGATGGATTCTGAAGAATTCGAGCCTGAAGTTTTGGTGGATTCCGGAGTGGCTCATCGTCAAGACAATTCCGAGGTAAAGACGGGATTGGAAGAGGCACATAAAGGTTGGTTCAATTCAGGCGCTGTGTAATTCCTTTATATCTTCTTAATGGATTATTTTGTGGCTGTTGCCCGTGATTTTTATCACAATTGGAGGTGTCCAATTGTGGTTTTTTCACGTAAAATCGTTGTGTCGATTTGTCTTGATTGTTTGATTGGGATTGCTATATACTGCTTAAAATTGATACATAATCACAAATCAACATCTAGGAGATTTCTAGATTTTTTAGATCTAGATATTTTCAATGCTGATCTACTATTTCAATGCCAATCTGGTACTCTACATAGTTACCGATCAGATCGAGACTCTTTGTACAATGTGTTGGTGGAGATTTGCATTTTTAAAACATGTTGAACTGATCTGATGAATTTATCACTCAATAATTTGTGATGATTTTTTTAACAATGATAAATTCATCACCAATTTGTGTCAATATGTTGTAGACTGTTGTTGTGCTGGAAATTTGAAATTAATACGGTGATAAATTTATTACTAATTTTTGTTCATGTTGTATTTATCACTATGTTCAGTGTAGTTGTTGGATTTGTTATTTTCAATACTGATAAATTTATCACTGACTGATTGAGTGTAATTGCTGGATTTTTTTTTTTTTAACAGTGATAAACTTATCACTGACTGGCTAAGTGTAGTTGCTTGAGATTTCAGTTGAGATTTGTCGCAAAACTTCCTGAGATTTCTTCATAATGTGTTTCGAAATCTCCTGTGGAAGGGTTTGAGAAGAGCAGAATGATGATAGAAGAGAATGATGGAGGAAGAGCAGCGATGATGGCAACGAAAGATGAGGATTGGTGTAAGGACAGAGACGATGACGGCAAGAGAGGCGGATGACGACGGCGATAATTGAGGTGAACGACGTTGAAGACGACATATGATAGCAGTAGTTGAAGTGAGTGGCGTTGAACGTGACTAATTGTATGGACTAGAAAAATAGTTAGAATGAGAGAGAGAGAGAGAGAGAGAGAGAGAGAGAGAGAGAGAGAGACGAAATGGGCAAAACATAATAGAATAAGCTCCCCTCCATATTATCATCTCTCCATACTCATCCATACTTTTCATATGAGCCCAAATTCGGACTCACATCGATGATCTGAACTACTTATTTTGTAGGTTCCATAATAAAGGTCATCTATGTAAAAAATCAATATCATCGAACATCTATAAACACAAGAATAAATCACATTTTATTTTATAGATTGAATAGTAAATAGGATTATAAACTTAAACTATTCATTTTTGTAAAATAAAATGTGATTTGTTTCTGTGTTTATACTTGTCCAATAAATCTAATTTTTTGTATGAATAATTTTTACTATAAAGCCTATGAAATAGACGGTTTGAATTATCAAAGTAAGTCCGAATTGAGATGTAGAAGAGGAGTATGGCTGAGTATAGAGAAATAAAATATGGATGGGAGTTTATCCCACACAAAATAGGGAAAAACAGGAGAGTTTATCCCAAATTTTATATATTTTTAATTATATCATGATTTAGTGGATTTAAAAATAAAATAAAAAAAACTTAAATATTTTTTTTAAAAAAAATATTATTAATAATTTACCCTTGTTATGTGTAAAAATTGTTAATATTTAAGATTCAACAATTTTCAAAACATATTAAAATTTAAAAAAATTCATTAATTATTTCTTAACAAGTAGTCCTTTGAAACTTCAATATGAAAAAGTGAAGAAAGTGAAGACTTCAAGACGCATGCCAATTTATCATTAAATAGGTAAAACAACTTCCACTGGCATAGAAAATTGTAAAAATTTAAATACTGTCTAAATTAAATAGTTATTTTTTATAATAAGACTAAAACATTCTTGCAGTTTTTTCGTTTAATTTTAACTTTTTATTTATTTTTTGGTATAGAGAAACATTTTAAAAATCTTTTTTTTTTTGCATTTATTTTTATTAAATTTATCTCTACTTTTTCAAAATAAATTTTGAAAATTCAACCAAAGAAAAAAAATTTCCAAGTAAAGTTTTTTCTAATTTGGATTAACTTAAAAATTATGAGAAATACAATATACAAATTTAAAATTAAAAAATGAAAAAAGATAAACAGAGGACAATTGAATCATCATTTACCGTAAAAGTTTGTTGGGCTCTCAATTTCGTACCCCAAGAATGAGGTATTTTTGTTCATATAAAAGTGAATATCAAATTTATTAATTTCTTAAAAGATATTTAATTTATTTATACCTTTGTTCAACATTCTTCATACTAGTCGAGGTAGATGAAACTAATTATTAGCTTCTTAACATGTATCCTTAGGGCACGTGAAACATTTAAAGTTATAATACAAAATAAATAAATAAACCATTGGCAACAAAGCTCAATGTGAATAACAGAACAATTCATTAAATTTTTTTATGATATTGTTGACAAATTGTAAAATTTTATCAAATTCACAGTTAAAATGCTTATTTCTCTACAAGCAACTTTAATTGATATATAGTTAATAATATTCTATAAATAATTCATGCATTTAAGCTTGCAAGTAAAGTTCTTTCTAATTTGGATTAACTTAAAAATTATGAGAAATACAATATACAAATTTAAAATTAAAAAATGAAAAAAGATAAACAGAGGACAATTGAATCATCATTTACCGTAAAAGTTTGTTGGGCTCTCAATTTCGTACCCCAAGAATGAGGTATTTTTGTTCATATAAAAGTGAATATCAAATTTATTAATTTCTTAAAAAATATTTAATTTATTTATACCTTTGTTCAACATTCTTCATACTAGTCGAGGTAGATGAAACTAATTATTAGCTTCTTAACATGGGTCCTTAGGGCACGTGAAACATTTAAAGTTATAATACAAAATAAATAAATAAACCATTGGCAACAAAGCTCAATGTGAATAACAGAACAATTCATTAAATTTTTTTATGATATTGTTGACAAATTGTAAAATTTTATCAAATTCACAGTTAAAATGCTTATTTCTCTACAAGCAACTTTAATTGATATATAGTTAATAATATTCTATAAATAATTCATGCATTTAAGCTTGCATTGTGACTCTCCATTTGATAAGAATTAAAAGAATGGCTTATTGGGGTTAAATACACTGTCAGTCCCAAACAAAGTATGCACTATATTTCACTTTGATTCCGTATAGTTTAATTATGTTAATTTCATCTCAATTTATTCAATTTTTATTCAACAGTCGGAAGTGACATTTCTTTTTTAATTTCCCATTAAAAATACCCCTAACTCCATTTATATTTCAATTATATACTCCAGAGGCTCCTCTATCTGTTGCTCTTCAAAAAAAATTTCTAATCATTGTAAGAAAAAGTAATTTATTAAAAGAAGCGGGGCAAGAGAGAGAGAGAGAGAGAGAGAGAGAATTAATATTCAATCCAATAATTGAATAGCAAACTATATTTGACATCTCCAAGCTTTATACCAAGACAAATTGTAATGTTTAAACTAAATAATTTTAAAATATAAACTAACTAAATCGAACAAAGCTCATAAATGAATAACACTTATTGTTTATGAACAAATGAAATTAAATCTTACTATTTCTTTTGAAGACAAAAAAAAAAATGAATCTAATTAATATGCATGTGCAATCTACCCAAGATTTAACTTGTTTCGGGAGGGCCTTCTAAGCGAATGTAGTCGTACATGAGTCCTGTGAAAGGGCTTCCTCCTCTTGACTGTGTCAAATAGATTATATTGCTTCCAGTTGCAAGAAGATGGCTAGGTATGTTGACATTGTACAATGAGTATAATCCATGAATCCCATGCCTCGCAATGGCATTGTCCCTTCCTATTCGCCTTGTTGTGAAGTAAGGTCGTACTCTATATGGGTTGTTGATCCGTACCTTCAGTCATAAAGCAACATTAGTTATCATACCACGAGATAAAAATTAGCCCCATAAATTTAATACAGTTACACATTTGTTCATAATAAAATAAACGTAATTAATGCAGGGTGTGTATTGTAAATCATTTATATTACTCACAGAGTGATTGATGATTAAGAGACAAAGTGTTATTAGTTAGCAAAGCACAATGCAATTGTGTCAAATTTGTGGTATTTGTTGTAGTTTATAGTGTAATTTTCCCCAATGAAAGCATCACCTTATTTGGTGGTTAAACTTTCAAAAACTTGACTTCATGTTTTTCATTTTGCTTGTTTTAGTGAATTTTTTTTTTTTTTTTCCATCTAAATAATAAGTATATGTGAAGAAGTTTGAAAAAAAAAAAAAAAATCACCAAAGACAAAAAATGAAAAAAATGAAAAAAGAAAGACATTTTTGTATTTCTTTTAGTAGATTTTTTTTTGGGGGGGATTTTTTTCACATGTACTTTACCTATTAATAAGTGAATCTAATTTTTTTTTTTTTAAATGACTAAAATGTGAATTTTTTTTTTTTGGGACAAAATATAGATTGTTAGTTTGTTACTAACTAAAAGGATCCCTTCTAAGCGAATGTAGTCGTACATGAGTCCTGTGAAAGGGCTTCCTCCTCTTGACTGTGTCAAATAGATTATATTGCTTCCAGTTGCAAGAAGATGGCTAGGTATGTTGACATTGTACAATGAGTATAATCCATGAATCCCATGCCTCGCAATGGCATTGTCCCTTCCTATTCGCCTTGTTGTGAAGTAAGGTCGTACTCTATATGGGTTGTTGATCCGTACCTTCAGTCATAAAGCAACATTAGTTATCATACCACGAGATAAAAATTAGCCCCATAAATTTAATACAGTTACACATTTGTTCATAATAAAATAATCGTAATTAATGCAGGGTGTGTATTGTAAATCATTTATATTACTCACAGAGTGATTGATGATTAAGAGACAAAGTGTTATTAGTTAGCAAAGCACAATGCAATTGTGTCAAATTTGTGGTATTTGTTGTAGTTTATAGTGTAATTTTCCCCAATGAAAGCATCACCTTATTTGGTGGTTAAACTTTCAAAAACTTGACTTCATATTTTTCATTTTGCTTGTTTTAGTGATTTTTTTTTTTCTTTTCTGTCTAAATAATAAGTATGTGTGAAGAAATTTGAAAAAAAAAAAAAAAAATCACCAAAGACAAAAAATGAAAAAAATGAAAAAAGAAAGACATTTTTGTATTTCTTTTAGTAGATTTTTTTTTGGGGGGGATTTTTTTCACATGTACTTTACCTATTAATAAGTGAATCTAATTTTTTTTTTTTTAAATGACTAAAATGTGAATTTTTTTTTTTTGGGACAAAATTATAGATTGTTAGTTTGTTAGTAACTAAAAGGGTCGCCGATTTTCTATCAACTTGAATCCCTAATCTTTTCTTCACCACATCCTAAAGTGTGGCTATAAGACCACTGGGTTAAACCCAAGATCTAATAATAAAAAATAAAAAAAATAAAAAACGAGAAACGGAAAAATAAAAAAAATAATTTTTGTAAACCAAACCAAATATTGAAGACAGAGTAGGTTTCGTACTTGTAATTCAGCATAACTAGATGATGCCAATGCCAGTTGAAGTGTGTAAGTTCCTGCCCTCACATATTCCAAATCGAATGAAATTCTCCACGTGGTCCCGACAAATGTATTATTTTGACTCCTGCAATATAATGTTAATTATCTTAGAAACAGTAACAACACATGCAAAATTAACAAAAGGTGAAAGACACAATAATAAAATAGAATAAACAAACACCTGGTAACATGAGCAAAAAACCAATCTTTTTCATAAGAGCTATTCCCTATGGTGTAGATGAGATCTTGGTCTGGATAAAGAACCGAATACTGATTCCATAATCCATATTGCCTAAACCTGTTGATTCAAAATTTTGGCAGTTAACAATGCAATCCATGCGTTTGTATATATATATAATGGTATTGAAGTGCTTAGGAGTTTTTATATTGACAATTGAGAGCGTACTTCTCTTCATTGTCATCACCATTTTTGAGTAAATGGGTAATGCGTTTTGGACTTGGGTCTGGCACGTAGAATTCAGCAGCAGTACGATCGGGAATGCCTATTTCCCACAGAGTAGGGCCACTCCTAGGAGCATCATATACAATATCACCTAGGTTGATTTCAGTTCCTACATTTCAATGTCAAAATGGAGAAAGTGAGTTACAGGTATACTATCGTTACACTTTAGAATCCAAACCCAACCTAGAAGATTATGTGTATATGTTTAATGAAAACTTGTACACATTGGTAACCAATGCAATGTGTAAGCAACTTTGATTATGACAGACCATAACCTAGATACAAACACATTAAATGTGTACCACATTTTTAAGTGGTGTGCATTGTAAAATTATATATATACTAAATTTCATTTTGTCTTCGAGGTTTGCTAAGCAAGATTGTTAATGAATGCATAATACCTGGGTTGACATTAATTTGAATATCATATTTGTAATCCCCAATAATACCAGGGACCCATGCATACAAGCTATAGTTCCCAGGTCGGACATTCTTAATCACAAAGTTTCCCTCAGCATTCGCTTGGACCCAAAATTGATAACCCTGCCAAAGTGAAAAGAATTTGAAAAATAGAAAAATTAGAGATCAATTGAAGTTTTCTTTGACTACAAGATTCTCCATATATATATATGAAATAAAAAAAAAATAAACAAAGAAAAACTAAAGATAACCTTGGTTTCACTTTGCCATGATCTCGCTTCTCCTGGTTTAGCCAACCCCACAAAAGCAGAACTTGCATTAATAAGTTCTTTATTTATGTACCTAATAAAAACAAGAGAATTAATGGTGATTTAAGTTTCAAGTTCAACATTATTGTACCATAATAATAATGTTGAAGAAGAATGTAGGAGGGTTGATGGATAAAATACCTGTCACGGACTAGTAGTCGACCATTAACTATGCCCCGTTCATTGGCGTGAGGAAAGTCTTTTGAAAGCGGGAAATCGTATGGCCAACTTTTAGTTTCTTTCGACATCTAATGAAAGAGATTTGAGTGCAAAAGTCATGCTCATGTATTGTTAATTTAAAAATCAATGTAGAAAATGTCTGGAGAATAATATTAATAATACCTGTTGTTTAGCATCATTCCAAAGTGTACGTGGATCTTTATCAGCTGAAGCCTTGTTAAGATAGATAAAAACCGGGCCAAAAACTTTCTTCCACGGCTCTCCTTCCTCAAATTTTGCACTCAAAGTCCCAGTATAATGGCTACTAAAGAACATCTAAACATGAATAGCACAATTTTTTCATCATCATCATCATCATTAGTGAGAAGAACATATAAGAGTAAAAAAATCACAATGCAGTCATAGAAGTTTGATACTTACTGCTAAGCTTGTTGGGCCACAGTGGGAACTAAGCTCTTGCTTGAGAGGCCCACCTACACGAAACTCATTGCTTGGTGTAATAACCCAAAATCCAACAGCAGGGTCAAAGGATATCCACCCATGCAACCGGTTGTCTTTGATATCAACTGAGTATTGGTACTTGTCATCGACCTATAAAAATCACAATACCAAGAAAACAATGTTAATCCTCGCAACTCGTGAATATGAATAGCTTTTTTTCACTAATATATAATTAATTGGTCTGTTCCTAAATCTTCTTTATTTTTCTATCCGAAAATTTTCACAATCACTAAATTATTAAATTTTTTGAAATATTGTAATAACAAACACTACAATATATAAGAGTTTTAGAAATCAAATTTTTTGTTATCTAAAATTGAAAATTTTGTTGCAAAAAATTTAGGAACTAATTTTTATCGTAGGATAGTCGCTAAAAGATTGTCAAGAAAAGTCAAAAATAAAGTTTTTAGTGACAAAATAATTTGGTCTAAAAAGTATTTATTTTTTGAGACAAAAACTTGGTTCCAAAAGAATAATAATTCATCACTAATGTCTAATTTTTGTTGCTAAAAATATAATGACGACATTTTTTGTAACAAAAACATTTAGTCTCTACAAAATAATTTCGTCTCTAAATTTTGACCTCTAAAACCTTATGTTTTTTCGTGTAAGGATGATCAAATGAATATTAATGTTTGAACACGAAGGAACCAAAAAAGATGATCTAATGAATATTAATGTTTGAACACGAAGGAACCAAAAAAGATGATCTAATGAATATTAATGTTTTAACACAAAGGAACACAAAATTTAAGGATAGAAGAAAGTTTTGGGGCACTTAACCTGTCCTTTGAGGTCTTTATTGGATGGATGTGTCAATAGAACAGCCTCCTTATAGTCAAGTTGCTGACCAGTTTTTCGATCATTGGGTCTTGCCATGAACTTTTGCCTTGTATCCGATACAGCCATGTAATTAAACCTAATACGACACCATATGATCATTAGAATATATGTATATGTACACATTGTAATTTACTTTAAAATTATATTATTGAGTAAAGCAAAGTCTGCGTAGTTAAGCAAATTGTTGGTTTCAATTGTAAGAAAGGCTTTACTAGGGACACAAAAATTGTGTACAAAATGGCCACAATGGATAGGCCCACAACTCTCTGCGTATTGTTTTGTGAAAGGCTTTTGTGTCCCTAGGATCTCCATTGAAAGAATTAACTCAATGAATGAGCCTAGAGGCTAGTGCAAATGTCTTACTTTTCGTTTCGAAGCTTGAAAGCAACCCTACACTCATCAATATGCATACTAGGCCATCCCTCTAAGCGCTCGAATATTGCATATGTGTAGAAACCGGAAGAGCCACGCAACATTATAAACCTACATACATATATATACACCATAACCATGAGTTGAGTAATCGTGATTGCAAAATTAAGTTAATAATGTTTAAGACTAAGTTAGTAAATTGCACCTTTTGTCTACATTTAGGGGACGTCCAACATCGCCAAGGGAAGCATTCCATGTGCTCAGGAATGAAATCTCTATTTGATTTTCATCTTCTCTTACAACCTCATAACTTGTCCCTAGTAGCCTGTACAACCATTTTAAGTAATTTTAGTTAGACAATGACATGCTTCTTATGCAATGGTTCCATAATACTCAATATATAGACACAACTTACTCGTCTAAATGTTGACCTTCATTCGTTGTCCAAATTATATCCCAATACCTACAAGTGATTAACAAAATGTAAATTGTAAAATATGAAAAGACAATCAATTACTTAACTGATAATAACATTTGACTAAAGAAAGTCTACAATGACAAGAATTTTAATGTGGTCATAGTATGCCCTAATTCATCTGCAGAGTCTTACTATACCTATGGAGTTTGTGTACAAACCAACTTCATGGACTAAAAATTACCCAAGTATGTGTGTGCCCACCCGATGAGTGTATTGTTACCATGGTAAAATATAAATTTTGATTTTTAATTAAAAGGGTAAAAGTGTGGTTTATTAAACCAATGGTCTAAGGTATAAGGCGCTTTCACTACCCCAATATTTAATTTCTTTTTGTACCCAAAAGTGAAAACTTCGTTGCAAAAAATATTTGGGAATCAATTTTTGTTGTGTGAGGGCCATCATCAAAAGATCGTCTCGAGACTTTTACTGATAAATTTTTTAAAATATCGCTAATAAATAGACTTTAAGAACAAAATAATTTTATGTCAAAAATATTTCCTTTTTTTATTTTTTTTGATCAACTAAAAGGAAACCTTTATTGGTGAACGAAAACATTACATCAAAAAAGGAAAAGATTAGTCTCAAAAGTATAGTAGCTTATCACTACAAGTTTAATTTCATTGTTAAAACTAAAACAATGATACTTTTGATAACTAAAATATTTTTATCCTTAAATTTTTGTATCTAAAATCTTAATTTGTTGTAGTGTTAATGGAGAATAATGAAGAAAAGAAAAATAAGAGTTTCAAGTCTATAAACTAGTTTCTTTATAAAATTACGAATGGCTAGTTGATCTGATGACATATATGGTTTGAAAGATATGGCTGTGGCAGGTACAAACAACTAATATTTGTCTAGAAAAAAAAGAACAAAAAAAAAAAAGCAAGGAAAAAAAAAGTAAATATAGCTAATATTATCAAGTCAATCTTCAGGTAAAAGATATGTGAGAAATAAAAGCAACAATGCTTGCTTACCCTCTGTCTGTTTCTTTGTTATTTTCTAGTAAACTAATTTGATCATACTCTATATCTGTCACACTACCCTCCGGAATCGACAAAGTGACACTAACGAGGCCATTATTCATTTGGACCTGCACATGTAAGATCCGTTTGGGGGAGTTAGATATATAGTAAAAAAATTATTATAAATTATCACATTATTCCTTATACTTTTTGTACATCCTTTTACAAAAAAATTAAAAAGGATATTCAATCACTTTCACTACTGAGTATTAATTTTGAATGATACTGCAGAAAATTGGATAGAGAAGCATTATTTAAAGGGGAAATAACAACAGGCTGTAACAGTATAAAAAAAAAAAAAAAAAAAAAAAGAAAAAATCACAAATCAGTGATAAAATTTATATACTTTAATAATTAAAATGCTATATTTTTTATGATATTTTTTGGTTCTTTTCTGTCTTCGGTACATTACGACCAAGCATATATATGAACGGTAAAGATTTTAAGAAGCTTTACATAATTATCCCATCTGTACAAACGAAGTGGAGGAAGTGACTTTAGTTCTCGGTTGTTGCTGCTCCGTGGAGTACTGCAAATTGGATTAAAAAAAAAAAAAACATAAACATCAAATTAGAGTCAATAGATCGAGACAGAGGGGCATGAGATAAGTCATCATTAAACATGACAACAATTATAGTTAGTTTGTATGCATGCCATTATTTTTTTGCTTTAAAAAAATAATAAGAAAAAAAAAAAAAAAAGTATAGATGATTGTCAATATAGGAACCCGACAGAGAAAATTATTAGATAGCTGTAAAATATTTTGTGGCATTATTTATGTGATGTTTCTGACAATTGAAATATCTCGTTTGAGAATATATTATTTTAATTGCATTTTGATTTTTTGGCTAAAATATAAGGTAAAAAAAAATGCTTGATTTTTTTTGTATAATTTATTGGTTTTAGTATTTTTTTTACTTCTAGCCTAAAATGCAAACTTGCCAAATGAGACCTAAGCAGGTTAATAAACTAAGTTTTTTGACTTTTTAAATTTTTTTTGTTACATCACTTTTTTACTTTTTTTAGATAAAAAAGTCAAAAAGTCACAAAAAAATCAAAAAAAATCAACTTTTTACTAACTTCTTAAAATATTCCTAGTTTATTAGGCAATGTCATTTAAAAGTTCAAGAATATCCAAATATTAGCCTACAGACAGACCCAACAGTGCGAGAATGTGCAAGCGATCCCTCAAGACGGGTTGCTGTATGCATGGGACTTTTTGTTGGGTTTGGAAACATTCTTATGGCATCCATAAACTCAAGAAACAACAAATACAATGTTCCTTCTAGCTTTGCTAAGGGAACTAGAAAAGCAAAGGAAGAGATCTTCAAGTACCTTAATGGAATCTCCCTAGAGGATACACCAAGTAAGAATAACTGAACAATAAGACCAAGCAAAATCCAAGTCTTCCACCCTATCTTCTCCATAACTGTATAAATTAATAAACAATCAAAATCATTAATATCAAAAACTATATATATATATATATATGTGTGTGTGTGATATGTTTCAACATTAATGAAAATCATTAATATCAAAAACTAAGGTGAGATCAATCAAGCACCTCAGAAGAATGATAATATCTCTCCAAACTAAAGAGACACCAATTCCCACCTTATGTATTGTGTATATGTATATAGTTTCTTTTTATACTCAAGTCTCCTTAGGGGCAATCCCTTTCAGAGTGGAAATAAACCAGCTATTCAAAGTATTAGAATTGATTTGAAACACAAACTATATTGGTTTAGGTTCAATTCTATTTTCATACGTGACTAAAGACTAGTTTGTAACCTTTGAAATATGGACACAGCAAACAGATTCTAACATACATGTGCATTTATTATTATTATTTTCTTTTCTGTCTTCTTGTTTGACATAAAGTCTTTTTTTTTTTGTTTTTTTTTGGTAAGCTACAAACACACCCTGAGATTTACTTAATTACAAATTACTCCCTGTGATTCTAAAAGTTACATTATGTCCCTAAGGTTTCTAATTTCACTTTTTTTTTTTTGTTTTTTTTTGGTAACCTACAAACACACCCTGAGATTTACTTAATTACAAATTACTCCCTGTGATTCTAAAAGTTACATTATGTCCCTAAGGTTTCTAATTTCATAACAAATAGGTCATTTTATTAATAAATCATCAAGTTAATTAAAAAATTTTAATAATGTTAAAATTTTATTTCAATTAATAATTCAGATAATTTTATTATTGTATAGGTGAACAGTTAAAGTTTTCACTTTTTCAATTAATTCTGTTAAATAAAAAATTATGACAGGGAGGTATTTGTAATTTTCCAAACCATAGGGGGCAATTCATATTTTTATGGAGTGTATTTGTAATTTATTCTTTTTTTTTTTATCAGCAAAAAAAAACTTTATTGATGACAAAAACATGCATTTCATATAAAATTACATCAATAAAATGGTGAAAGTGAAGAGAGCATCAAAGGAAACTACCTCAATATGAGATTACATTTTATTTGAGATTACATCCCATACATTTCATATGAAATTATACCAATAAAGTCTATTTCTTTGACTTGATTTAATTAGGAGTTTGGTTGACAACATAAACATTAGATTATGATATGGATGTGGAGATTGTGGCATAACGAAGTTGTACTTGTAATTGGTTATATCTCAAAGAAAACACGAGGAAGGGAGGGCACATAACGTGAAGCAGTTTGAGTTGTTGGGCCAAACTTTGACCTTTTTTCTGTTATTCTTTTTCTTTTTGTTTACCGGTCTAATTAGGACAACCTTAGACACAAGTGGTCAATTTTTTTGAGGACGCTGCTCTAACTTTTTAGTGAAAATTTTATTATTATAAAAATATTTTTCTCATCATATTTTAATATAAAAAAAAAAAAACTCCTCAGGAGTTTAAATAAAAGAAATAAAAAAATAAAAAAAAACTCTAAATACTTATGAATAAATAAGTTTAGTCAATAAAACAGCTTTGTTAACCGGTAATTATCCCAGTACTAACATATATCTAAATGTTAGAGAATTATTATTTTTTTTTTTTCTAGCCCGGACAAGAAAAAATAATTTTGGAATGTCGGAAAATTTCTTATTTTATTTTTCTAGTTTGGATAAGTGGGGGAGGGAGGAATAAATTGTGAAGCACGTTTGGGACACGGCAGCATAATACCTCCACTGTTTCTAAGAATTCAAATTTTTATAATCCTAAATATTTTGAGAAATTTAGAAACGATTCTATTGACCAAGTTTATTTATTTATAAAAAAATTTATTTATTTTTTTGATCTAGCATCATTCCCAAATCGTATTAGGCAAAATAAGTGCTTTAAAATTTATTGATACATTAAAAAATTTTTAAGTTCATCACATAAAACTGACCGTAATTTACTAAAATAGTTATCAATAGACTCACAAAAACAATTGTCAGAGTCTAACTAGGTCCAGTAAAATAAAAATATAATATTTTACAACACATGTTATTGTCCTTGTCCAAATTAAAAATCGTTATCTGAGGGTCTATGAAAAGACTTTATTAAAGCGTTTTTTGTCTCTAAAACTCACCCAACTGATTAAAAACTTATGTCTACAAACAAAATTATTAAATACTTGGAGGCTATTACATGTTCATAATTCTTCACAAATCATTTACCTTTTATGTCTCTTCATATTCTTTAATCATCTAACACAAAATCATAATGCTTCACATTCTCTACCAATTATAATATAATCGAATATCATGTGATCGTACTCAAAGAATTCCCAATAATTACCCTTTGTACAAAGATCTTTTTCTTTACAATTAAAAAGAGAATAAGGGATTAAGGGGAAAAAAATTGAATTACACAGTAGTTAAATTTTAACCTGCATGTCACACCCATGCAAGAAAAACAAATGCTCTTTTTTTAAAAGACCTTCAGAAATAAAAATAAAAAATAAAAATTGTCCAAAAGACCTAACGCCAATAGTCCCATAAACCCATCTAATTACAATAATTGACACGTCAAATATATATATATATATATTAAACAGAAAATAATGTAAAAATTAGTCATTTTTATATAAACTAATATTTAATTACACTAAAATTCCATTTGAAATAAATAAATACTCAAATTGTTTGACACATGTTTAAAAGTCAGATAAAAAGGTGACTAAGCTTTAATTGTTAAAAAATAAATAAATAATCCATGGTTATCAAACCTTTTAACTTTTTTTTAACCACAATTGTTTCCTAATATATTTTTTTTTTAATACAAAAGTTAGTGTCAAAAGCAAAGATTCAAAGGTTAATAACAGAATTTGACCGAACAATATATATCAGTTGCAATGTTGGCATAAATAAATATGATGCAATCCTACATTATTCTAATTAAAAAAAAAATACACAAAAAATTGGTCAAATGATCAAACTTTAACAATACCTAACAGTGGAAATTTATGCACAAAGGAAATTAGGCAAAAGACTATGTGGGTTCTTTCATATGCTGTGATCTTCCACTAACGTTGGCTATGACTCCACTACTACGGCATAAACTCCACATATTTTTTGTATTCACACTTCCTCTCGTTTCAATGTTTATTAAGGCATTGTTCGGCAATCACCTAAAAAGTTTATTTATTTATTTATTTATTTAAATTTTCCTATCTGTCTAGTGTAGAAGAATCTAAAATATATATATATATATATAAGAAAAAAAATAAAATAATAATAACAAGAAAAAAAAAAACATTTTTCGATTCTTCATCTTCATCCCTCAACACTCGTTTCTATTGTCGACAACCTCCAGCTGACTCCAACTGACCACTGGGGAGCTCCAATGAGCTTTTGCTACCTTTCCCGGCCAGTCATCGCCCATGACCTCTAGTCACCCTGCAACACTTCGGTGACCCGCCACTGGTCACGTCTCAAACTAAAATAATTAAAAAGTTAAAAAGTCAAAAAATCAATTCACATGTCAAACGAAGGTTACATAATTTATAAGATGCTGAAAAAAGAGCTAACAATTCTCATCTCTTATAATTTTCAAGGTTTTGCTTGTCAGTATATTGTAACATATGCAATATAAGATAACAATTTTAGTTTTATTGTTCTATAAAAACATAACTTAAATAAATAATTTGATCATTTTAGTTGAATTATTTGTGTGTAATGTCTATGTGTACAAATATATTAAATCATTTTCAAAAAAATATTGCAACGTACGAAATGCAAGGGAAGAATTTTAGTTTTATCCTGCTCTAATATGTAACTTAAATAAATACGTATGCAAATTCTATACACTTGATTTATGAGATTATTTCTGATATGAACATTATATCCAAATAATCATAATCCAATAAGTATAGAAGTCTAATAACTACTCCAACAAGAAACCCCACAAAAAGTATGGACTTGTTAAAAAAACATATGATATAACTGATGCAAATTTGGACAGATTTGGTTGAACAGAAAATTTGGCTAAGCTTAAGACTGAAGTATAAAAAAAATCTATCCAAACTTAGCCTGAGCCCAATTTTGATTCAATGAATTCTGGCTACCCAAATTAAAGACAAGATATTATCTTCGATTAACCTAAATCAATGTATTTAATATAATACAAAAATAGTTTGATTTTTGAAAAAATAATCAAATATATATAAGATATAAATTAAAAACAGAATTTGAGTTGTTCGAGTTATGAAAAACCTTTATTTAAACTCCGTTCTAATTTAGTTCAAAGAAATTTACTCTAGAATTATATTACTCAAATCTCAATTTTTGGCAATGACTGTTCATATTGACTCTGTCAAGTTACATTTTTTTTTTCCTTTACTTTTCTTTTCTTTTTTTTTAAATTTTAAACATAGCTTTCAAAGCCCTTTATCATTGTTTCTGTTGTGTATGTAGGTACACTCATTATGACTCCTCAAAAAGAAGAGATTATGTGACGAAAAATTTATATGTATTCAATATTAATTGGAACAAACCTTCAAATACAATGACTATCAAATAATCATAATAATAAAGAACAATATTCATACACGCAAAATCCCAAAACAATTAAGTAACCTCAAAAAAAATTATTACTGAAAAACATTTAACAATTATAAAGAACATTATTTGCCATAATATAGTGCAAAGACACAATCGTTACAAAAATAATCTCCACTAATTTTATTTGCTGATTAAAAAAAATAAAGAAACTCACTGTATTTTCCTTTGATGAATGCTATCTTCAAGCTTTTCAGATGGTTTCTCTCTAATCCGTGGCAACTTATGATTTTTTTTTTCCCCTTTTCTTTTCTCTCTTTTTCTCTCAACAATCGATTATTTGTTTGTTTCAAAGGAGTTGAACTTGAGTGCTTATAAATAAAAAAAATTTAAAGAGTCCATCTTTTATTCAACTTAGGAGTCACTTGAACAATCCTATTAAAATTAAAAGACGCCAATACAATTGTATGTATTGTACAACTATATGTCCAAGGGGAGGCAAGAATAATAGTTGTATTAGAAGTGTATCTCAAAGTACACAAGAATTCAAATAATGCAATGAATTTGGGTTCTTCAATAAAACTATTACTTTATTTATTTATTTATTCTTTTGGATCTACTTGGTTGACATAATTAGGGTTGTAAATTTGGTTCGGCCCAACCTACCAAGGCTC